AATCATTTCTGTGGCCATAGTTACCGTAACCCATTGCAAAATTGTTGAGTACTTTTTGACTACAGTTCGATGGTGATGGAATATAGTCAGAAGAATCATATTTTTCTCTCAGTGTGATTACATGATTACAAATGATTTCGTCGATTATATTCTGTGATTACCAAACATCTGTAATCATTGAAATCACAAAAATGGCCTCTTATTAAATATGAATTGATGGAATAATTAATTGTTGGAACCTGCAAAGAAATGAGGAAGGAGGGGCGGGGAATAGAACAGAGGAATGCAGTCTCCATCACTCCACCTAAAAATTTGGGCATTTATAAGTGCTATCAGCAAAATAAATTTACTGAATATCTACCATTAATTCAGATAATTCCATCGTTGGTTCTCCAGAATAAGAAGAAATTTTAGTTCTGTTGAATCAATTTTCTACGGACAAATGTTCTGTGCAAAACGCATTGGCTCTGCAGGGTGCTGAACCATAAATATTTGGAATTCCGAGAAAAATGGATCCAGGGATCTCTGAGACTTACCGTTCATAGAAATGACGTACTCGGAAATTCAAAAACAGAATTCACGGTCTCACTAGGAGCAACTACGAAAGATTACACTGATTACAAATGATTACAGCGATTACAAATGATTGCCAAAACTTGATTATAAATATGGTAATCATGTGATTACAATGAGTACATTGATTTCACTGGAATTACAATTACTGGAGTGACACCACGATTACGCCTGTGTAATAGCCTCTCGGCTCACACTCCTCTTTCCCTTTAAAAATTGTTACCAGAAACAGGGCATCGTGGAGATGAGTAGAACAGCTCTAATTCGGATGTAATTCTATTGGGAGAGGCCCTGAAAAAAGAAGAGCAGACCCTACGGGGTTTATTACGCGCGTCGAGTTGGCGTCCTTATCGAAGGCCAGGACTGGCCAACCACGCGAGTAAAAATACCCCATGGCACCAGTCGTGAACGATTTCTTTCCGTAGTGATTTTCACTTTTACGAGTTTAGGGAAGAGCCCATACCATTTCCCGGACGAGGAAAAGTGAAGATCAGTACACGGAGAGAAATTTTCTAAAAAAATTTTAGTACGAGTACTGGAAAAAATTACAATCCGCCGACTGTGAAAAATTCTAGTGCTGTTAAGGTAAAATTTCTTGGTATTTTTGGTAAAATTTCTGGGGATTTCTGTGAAATTTTCACAGAAATATGGGGAAAAATTCACGGTTTCTCCAATAAAATTTCTAGTGCCGGCACTAGAATTTTTTCCTGGCCGTCACTTAGCGCCCCTTTTCCCGTGCTAGCACTAGAATTTTTCTAAAAAATTTCTCTCCGTGTATGGAAAAATTTCTTGGGGTCACATCGAGAGAGCCCTGATCCAGGTGAGGGCACGCACCTGACCGCCAGCCGCCCCAGTGTGAGTACACGCGGACAGAAGAGCAAGAGGATGTGCAGATGAACGTCGGAGGAAATCGCCCTGAAGCGGAATCCCGAGGAACGCCGAAAATAAAATAATAATAATTAAAATTCGGTTAGACACAATGCCCAAGGTTCAGGGTCAATGGTCGTGCTGAGATAAGAATTGAGAAGGGGAATAATCCCCCCCCCCTGATGAATGATGAAGATTCATGAAATTTTTTGAAAAATTCATCCACACATTCGCACATACACATATTTTCTAAAAACATCATATTTTTACGTTTCATGATAACCTATACATCATTTCCACACAAAATTAGAAGATCGTCAAAATCAACAATTACAAGGTTTCCATTCGGAATCAATAAATGAGTATATTTGACAATAAAATTGTCACATGAATTTATCCGAAAACATATGATCAACTGCCTCATACTCCTCACGTCAAAAGGGTGAAAAGTAGTGAATTCTTGGCAATTCTTATGATGTTTGTCTGTCTGGATTCATTTTATCCCATTTTAATATTGACAACAATGGTAGAAACGATAAAAGAGATGTAGAAAGATGGAAATGATTGACCTTACCAATTTCATCGGGTCGTTCCAAAAGACCTAGTGAAGAACCGGAGGCTATTGGCCCTGCGCCAGTATCCCCCAGAAATGTCGGCCAAATGTTCTCGTGCATTTTCTATGCCTGTATCCCCCATTCCACACGGTGCCATGAGAGGATCCGAGGACGGCGTGCCAATGACACTGATTAGTTTTCATCTTCACTTCGAGAAATTCCAACTATTTTTTTTCCTTTTTATGTGTCCAAGTTATCCGATTATTTCAACACGTGAAGTGGAACATAATGGGTGACCTTTTCATCGATTTTTCAACAGTATACCTCTATATTCAGGACTATCGAGCCACTCGCGATTTATTAAAGATGTCAGAGCAATGTTAAATCAATACTATGGATTTTATGTGGCTGAATAAAAAGAATGAAAATGTGATAAACGCGTAAAATTTCAAATTCCTCCTCTTCCTCCAGGCCAATTAGTAGTTGTCAGCACTTTTAACAATCAAAAATAAAATAAACAATAAATTTCCACTAATTTGCCAACGTTTCAAGAGGTACATCCACTCCTCATCAGGATAATTTATTAAACTTCCATCTACAAAAAAAATATATAAAAACCATTATCATCCATTTTTATGGAGACATTCACTGCTTGAAATAACTGGTTGAAGATGGAACCATATACTAATTCAAGGATACCAAAACTAATTACCATTCCCCGTTATTTCCTATCTATTTAAAGAATAGTATATTGTGTTACTAGTGCATAAAGTTCCACTTTTTTACGCGCACTTGTAACACATCCTATTTTGTGTAGTACCTTCAGAGTCCACTGTACGGAACAGAAGGGGGGGTAATGTTGTTGTTTTTGTGCACGAGTGGGCAAAGTTCAAGAGCGTGCGTAAAGTGAATTTCGCTCATGAAGTTCTCGCACGCCGTGCAGAAAACAAGCGCTTTACGCACACTAAACCGTTTCGAAAAGTGCACTTTTGAAGTAGATATAAAAAAAAACATGTTGACTTCAAAATTCCACAACAAATTTAGGGAATACCAAACAACAAATAAATCTAGCCACCATCTTAATCTGCAAAAACCACAGCTAATATTAACATTGCATTGCGCGAAAAATAGTTACATTAGTTTTCATTTCACACAAATAATTTACATCAACTTGAAGTAAGTAAAAACCTTCCATTAACCTGCTACTCAAAAAAAAATTAAACTTCTGCCGCGTGGAATGTCATTCGGATAAATGAGAGGATTTTTGAAGTGTCATATACGGAGGAAATTTCTTGTTGAATTTTAACAAATGGTTGTTGAAAATTCAAACTGTGATTCACACAAAGAAAAAAACTTTCTAGTTTCGAAAACCAAATTGCTGTTTTTGAGAAGCTTATGGTTCTAAAGGGCATTGTACTCAGAGACGATACCTTTTCTGGATGAAAATATCTCATATAGAGGGAAGTTTATCAAGAAATATTCTATCTGTAAGTTACAAAATTGCTATCATTCCAATATTGTAATTTTATTTAAGAATTCATTTTTTGTCTGTGATTATCAAATAAGCGGAACGAAAAACTACTATCCCTTGTTTCGCATAAAACCAACATTTTTCAGAAGCAAAATACGTATGGGAGTATCGAAGAACAAAGAAGTAGTACTACAAATGACATTTCCAGCTTGCACAGTGAACACAATTTTGTTGGAACTACTAAATCTATTTTTGCTATAAAAATTTTCCATTGTCATGTTTGGAATTATTTTAAAAATTAATTTCCTTGAAAATTCAATTTCTCAACAAGTCTGACTGATTCGTTGCCCACCGGACGTTGACTTGCTGTCGATGCAGCAAAATTTATTGGTCAAACAAGCAACGCGTGTCTCTGAAAATCCCAAAATGGTGAACGCAGCGCCGGTGAAATGTCTCTTCGGCCACTAAATTCATTCTTTTAAAATATTTCTTTGGTCTCGTCTTGGGTGCCAAAGTGGCATGTCAATTTGAGTCAACTCCTTGGGTCAATCACGCGTTCGTAACTTCGCAATCAGTTACGTTATCCTGCCTGACGTATACAATTGATTAAGATACAGGAAAGATTTACACAAGGATTATTATATATTATTAGATAATAGGATTATTATATAATATTATTATCATCTAAATTTTAATATTGAACATTAAGAAGCTGAACAATAGCTGCAGATGCACCTGGTGCTTCAAAGGGTAAGGATCCTCTAATCAAAAATATTATTTTATACCGATAACAAGAAAACGAATGATAACTCATTTAATTTAATTTAATTTGTTATATAGAGTTTCCTGTTATCCCACCATTTTTTTTGATAATTTTTCAAAAACCATTTTTTGGCACAACTAAGACTTGTTTGAGAACTCTGTCGTTTTTCTCTCAGTGTAGGCGGAAATTTTTGAGGGGTATTTTTCTAGCAAATTTATCAGTCTAACAAAGGTTGAACTTTTTCATTTCCGCAATAATCATCCACCCAACAAAAACTTTTTATTTGACATAACATTGATAATAATTTTACATTACCATAGTTAATTGCATTCAGAAGTCAATGTTTAAAGAATTGAAAGAGACTTGTCATTCACATGCGAACTCCTACCACCAACAACCCCAGAACTTTTTTAATGACGTATTGTACTAATTCAACATTTCATGATGATGAGCTTTTGTTATAATCGGTGAACAATCTGCAAGAAGCTTCCAATTAAGGCTAATGAGTCCCCCTCCCCAATCAGGTGCATCCACTGATACCAAAGCAATAACTTCCCCTCCTCCCTCCCCCCTCATCCAAGCCAGCAAAAAAAGAGAAACATCTATAAATCTAAAATCGATGAACTTAATCTCCAAATTCTATTTTTAGGTTTATCCAAAAGGACTAAAATCCCCTGAAACTCATCGTTATTGATTTTCCAAGTACTCTACGCCACCCACTGGGCGTCGCTGAAATCGCCCCAGTCTTAACTTGTAAACGTCAGCCATGTTTGTTTCCGTCAAGTAAAACCTCGGGTCCTAAAAACTAGTCATTTCCTTCCAATTCCTGGGGGATAACTCCGGAGTACTGGATCAGTCAGGTGAGTAATGTCAGCTTTAAATTATCGAGCAGCATTTTCACTCATGATGTAGATGTCATTCTTCTCTCACGTGAAATTTAAATTCAAAAATTTTCAAATTGCAGGGACCACGCGGTCTCTTACACGATGGCTTTAATAGCTGCAGTACTCATACAGATGTAAACATTGCTTGTTAATTATAATTAATTTGCATTCATTGCGCTTATTAAAATCACGTCAATTTTTATTTTCTAACAGAATCACTAAAAATAAAATCGGCAGTAAACAGTGTGCCTCACTTTTTTGTTTTAATGCCTCAAATTATGCCGCACTATTTATTTATAAGAAAATGAATGAGAAAAATATTTCAAGTTTCATCAATACGGAATATTTTTGTAATTAACAAATTTACAGTCTTCCTGCATTTTATTAAAAAATAGTCCCCGCGTTGTAGTTGTGAAATTATTGTTCGTTAAATTATGAATTATTTTCGGTGACTGAATTGGGCAAAACTATGTCAATGATGTTTTCCTAATGCCAATTTTGGAAGTGAAATCAGTAAAACAAAATGGTTTTCATTTTTTTTATTCTTTCAATTCTGTTTCATTCATGTTTGACCATTATTATTTTATTCAATTGATGCATCATTCAATAATTTATTCTTCATCAATGCAGAATATTATGCTCATGGGAAAGAGACTGACAGTCTTCCTGCATTGAATTAAAAAATAGTCCCCGCGTTGCAGCTATGAAATTATTGTTCGTTAAATTGTGAATTATTTGCAGTGACTGAATTGATCACAACTATGTCAATAATGTTTTCCTAGTGACAATTTTGGAAGTGAAATCAGTGAAATAGAATGTTTTTCATAGTTTTTTTATTCTTTTAATTCTGTTGTATAATTAATTTAGAAAGAAAACAGATTGAAGAAAACCCCATTCATGTTTATTATTTTATTCAATTGATGCATCATTCAATAATTTATTTTTCATCAATGCAGAATATCATGCTCATGGAAAAGAGACTGACAGTCTTCCTGCATTGTATACAAAAATAGTCGGCGCGTTGCAGCTATGAAATTATTGATCAAAACTATTTCAATGCTATTTTCCTCATGACAATTTTGGAATTAATATCAGTGAAACACACTGTTAAAAAATTTTCACTGAAGTTTCCAGTCTTTAGTCTTAAAATATGAAACAAGTGACGGTTTCATTGAAATTTCAGGGAATTTTACCATTGAAAATTCGTGGTTTTCGTGGAAAATTCATGGTAATTTTAAATTTCAGTTAAATTATTCCATAAAAATTAATGGAAATTAGGAAAATTCAAGCAAAAATGTCCTTGAATTTTCAATTTTTTGAAATTTCAGAGCAATTTCTTATTGAATTATCATGTTTACATTGAAAATTCGTGGAAATTTCGGAATCTTCATGGTTCTTCCACTGAAAAATCAGGAATTTCCTTGAATTTTCAGAGAAACTTAAAGTTTCCTAGACTTTTTTCCGTTAAATTGAATTCAGTGTCATTTTCTGGAAAATTCAGTTGAATTTTTTCAACAGTGCAGAATGTTTTTCATATTTTTTCAATTCTTTTAATTCCGTTGTATAATGAATTTATGAAAGAAAAAAACTGAAGAAAAACTCACTTATGTTTGACCTTTATTATTTTATTCAATTGATGCATCATTCAATAATTTATTCATCACCAATGCAGAATATCATGCTCATGGAAAAGAGACTGACAGTCTTCCTGCATTGTGTCCAAAAATAGTAGCCACGATGCAGCCGTGAAATAACAATGGATGTTAGTGGAGCATGTGAGAATCAAGTGGCACTGACCGGAAACCTATTGATTATAATAGGTACCGTATATTTTACACTGTCTGATGCATTGTCACGTGGTGGGATATAAACATGGACAAGTTTGTGTGATCAGTTGTTAATGGAGTGATTGGTTTCATCGGAGTATTCAATTTCCGTTTCTCTCAGGATTTGAAGTTCAAAATGTCAGTTTGAGTTTTCGAGGGATTCGGGATGGGAATTACGGGAGAGTTACATGATACTTTAGATGGAATATGATATTTTACACGGTTGTGTGGTGGGGGAGAAGTGTTGGAGATTGAGGGAGGTCAAGCGAGCGACATGAAGCTTGAGCATTTACTCAGCGGGCTCTAGGAAAGACTTACAAGTGATCGGGGGCTTAGGGGATATTGTTGAGAGAAAAGTGGAAACAATTTTTCAACGCTTGTGAAATAAGCAGATTGATCAATTGCGAGAATGTGGTGAAAAATTAGATTTGGAGGAAAATAGATGTTATTTTTTTGGAATGATTGTGTTATGTCCGGAGATGTTGTCAGCATCGGAGGACAACTTTTATATTTTAATTTTAATACTCAACGCGCATGAAAAAATTCAATAGAAAACCTACCGAATTCGCTAAAAAATTCTTCTGGAATTCTATAGGAATTCTATGGACTATCTACAGGATTTCTTTTGGAATTCTATTGAAAAAAATTCTATTTTTTTGCTGTTTTTGTTACAAATTTTTCATGTTTTTTCCGCTAGATTTTGTTTTGTTTTGCATTATAGAATCCGAGTGGAAAAAATTCAAAAAATTGATGCCCACGCATTCTTGTAGAAAAAATCCCAAGAGAAAAATTCAAACACAAATTCGAAATCTATTGACTTTTCCTTATCGAGTATCCAATAGAATCAGTGCAAAAACAAATCGAATTTTTCAATAGAATTCCAATAGAAATCCTATAGACATCCCATTGACTTTTTATAGAATTCCAATAGAATTTTCTGGCGAATTCGTTAGGTTTTCTATTGAATTTTTTCATACGTAGCGAAACATAATTTTAGAATTATCAATAAAATAATAATCTACAGTGTTAGAAAAGGAAGGAAATTCCATAGACAGTTGACTGCTAATTTTCAGAACGGTCACACTGAACGCGATTTAGGGATTTATGTAAAAATCGTAAATTTCCGGTCTCACTGAACATTTAGTGAAATTCCAAAATTTTACGTAACATATAGACGAGAATTCCTCAATTTATCTGAATTTTGAATGAAACATGAATATTTAAAAAAAATCAAAATTTAAGAATATATCCACTGGAATTTTCTTGTTTTCTATTAATTTTCAGGGAATGAAGTAACCGAAATTCACAGTTCTCATTACCGATTTCCGATTTCCGCGAAATTCGGAATTTTCAACGACGAAATTCGTTGCAATTTTAGTGAAACTTAAATATGATAGAAATTTCCGAAAAGTTTACTGGAAATTTCAGACAAAAATTTTTCACGGTGTAAAGGATTTACTTTCATCTCATTTACTTTTTCTTATGAGGACAACGCTATGCGGCCCTTTTCAGGCGTAAAAATTCATTCAAGTTTCTATCGACGGCGGTGGCTGTATAGTTAGAGCGCGGGGTTGGCAGGTGGACGATTCGGGTTCGATTCCCGATGGGGGGGGGGGCAAAATGGTTTTTTAACGCTCTAATTCTCTCAGTTTCATTGTCCGAGCAAGCGTCTCACGAGGGACAACTATATCTGGTCAAGGTTTTTCCCTGAAGTGAGGTTTTTCCTTGGCCCTCAGTGAATGTGGCACAGGGGTTTGGGGGGTAGGAAGGGAGTAAATCGTAAAAACCCGAGAGGATATACGAAAGGACAAAAATTTTTTTTTAAATTGAAGTTTCTCTTTAGAATCAGCAGATCAGCCCTCGATTACTGGCGCTCGGCCGCCAGTCTTCATCCGTCGCACGGTTAGCGCAGCGCCGCTGGGTTCAACCGATCGCTGTTGCCATGTTGGCGCATACTGCCACGTGCGCATTTCAAGTGTGACAGTGAATGTAGCAACACTGCCGCTTGAGCGGTCGACAGGGACACACTCGCACAGGGCGGCGCTGCACCGCTTTTCTGTCCGTTCGACGTTTCTTTTTTTTTAGCTAAACAAATACACTTTCCTTTATCCACATAAAAATAGATTCTATGAAAAACTTAAAAAATGAGTGGGTATTAGACAGAGTTTAGCCCCAGTATAATTCTTTTGATAATAAATTAGCAATTCGATGAAATTTCAATTTCAATTGCAAAATAAAGTTGAAAGCCTTTCGCTGATTCTATATTGAAATAATTCACAGCTAGTCTACGCGTTTTTTCAAATAGAAATGTTCAATGGAAAATATCTTGTTATGTCCAGAGATGTTGTCAGCGTCGGAGGACAACTTTTTATATTTTAATTTTAATACTCTCGAAATATAATTTAAGAATTATCAATAAAAGAATAATCTGAAGGATTATCTTTCATCTCTTTTAGTTTTTATTATGAGGACGACGCTATGCAGTCCTTTTTAGGCGTCAAAATAAATTCAAGTTTTATTTAGAATCAAAAGATTGATTTGATTTATTATATTTATTTAATCGACTTCAGAGTTCTAACCGATTTAATATTTAGATGTTTACACGTTTTCAGATTTAGAAAATCATAATTTTATCAGAACTATAAATTGTACTGTCGGAATTTTAACAAAATTAGTATGAATGATTTTACATTGATTATTCATAATAATTGATTAAAATTTTACAATTATATTGAAAAATATTCATTACTAAAACTAATATATGAATTCTTCGGTAAACTAATGATTTCATTACCGGCAACGAAACCATGCGGAGTTACTTTCAATTAGCTTATCTTCTTTCACTCTTAGATAACTAATAAAATTTTTGTAGAGTTGAAGGATTTTAATAATTGGGCCGGGATGAAACGTGAAATAATATATTGAAGGTCCCTTATATGCAAGAAAAGACACTAGTCTCGATTTAAGGATGCAGTAAATACATAAGTTCCTACATAAACACGCCCGATAGCTATCTACTATTAATTCGATAGGTTACCACGCATAGTATCGACTTAAGCGAATTACTATATGGGAAGAAACGCGAAGGTAGATCGATTTTGTGAACATTTTCCACCAGTAGTTCAATAATTTCGCGATCACGAAGAAATT